CGTTTGGCTCGAGACATCTTATAAAAAGTAGATCTTGAAGGACTTGTTCTAAGACGCTTTAGTCAAAAGTGAGGCTCCCGCTCGAGACATCCTCGAGAAAATGAGATCTCCAGGGATCTCGCGAATTCGTCGAAATCTTAGAAATGAGGCTCTCGCTCGAGACATCCTCGAACAAATGTGATAGTGGACGAGCTGCTTCGAGACGTCTTCAGTTCAAAATGGGTCTCTCGCTCGCGACATCCTCGAAAAACGGTGACATCCAGGGAGCTTGCGAAACGAGTCGGTCCGAGAAGGGCTCAAGAGGGCTCCAAGACTGTCCAATAATGCTCCAAGACGATACCCTATCATCATCATCATCATCATCATCATCATCATCATCATCATCATCATCATCATCATCATGATCATGATCATCATCATCATCATCATCATCATCATCATCATCAGCATCATCATCATCATCATCATCATCATCATCATCGCCATTTTCATCATGATCATCATCATGATCATCACCAAGACGGTCCAAGAGGGGCTCACGAGGGCTCCCAGAATCTCCAAGAGCACTGCAAGACGGTCCAAGATACCCTTCAGCGTCTTCATCATCATCCTCGTCATCACCACTATCATCATCATCGTCGGCATCATCATCACATTGTCATCATCCTCGTTAGCGTCATCACGTTAAAACGGCCATGCGGTTTAAAACGGACGCCCACCGTACTCCCCCCCCGCCCGCCCGCCCAGCACACACCCGGCACGCACACCGCACACCCCCCCGTCCCGCCCCCCCCAGAACACATACTGCATACGCGCGCAGACGCAGGCACGCATACGCACACAGCCGCACACGCACCTGCACACGCACACACAAGCACACGCACGCACACACGCATACAGGCCACGCGCAGCATCTGACCAACCCAACCAGAGGCAACCACTCAACGCAAGCTACTCATGGCAACCATCTGGGCGTTTAGGGAAGCCCAGCGACGACCAACCCCATGTGCACACATTCCACGTTGTGTGCAAAGCCCTGCGCGTGCGCACGCAAGCTCAGAGAAGCGGCGCTTCCCGTTCTTGTCCAGAAAGGTTCCCCGTTTTTGGCAGTTTTCCCTGGGGCGTTTGCATGTTTGTTGGGTTCCCCCCCCCCGTTTGGGGCAGTTGCCCCTCGGGTTTTTGCATGTTTTTCGGGTCCCCCCCCTGTGTTTGGCAGTTTTCCATAGGGTTGTTGCATGTGTTTCGGGTTTCCCCCCCAAGGCGGCCTAAGAGCGCTCCAAGAGAGCCCGAGACCGCCCAAGGCGGCCCAAGAGGCCCCAAAGAGGCGCCCAAGGGGCGTCCCAAGAGGGTCCCAGGAGGATTGGGTTCTCGCTAGAGACTCCTCGAAAAATAGAGACGTCCACGGAGCTTGTAAAACTAGACAGCCCAAGACAGACTCAAGGAAGAGGAGGAAGAGGAGGAGGAGGAGGAGAAAGGGGAGGATGAGGAGGATGAGGAGGACGAGGACGAGGACGAGGAGAGGGATGAGGAGGAGGAGGACGAGGAGAGGGAGGGGGAGGAGGAGGACGAGGAGAGGGAGGAAGAGGAGGAGGAGGAAGAGGATAAGGCGCATAGCGCAGCAAAGCAAATCATAACATAGCATAGCATAGCATAGCGCAGCATATCATAGCATAGCATAGATGTAGGTGTAGATGTGGATGTGGATGTAGGTGTAGATGTAGATGTAGATGTAGATGTAGGTGTAGATGTAGGTGTTGATGTAGATGTAGATGTGAGTCTCGCTGTTGGTGTTGATGTAGATGTAGATGCAGGTGTAGATATTAAGGTAGCTGTCGGTGTAGATGTAGATGTTGCTTTCCTAGATGCTCCAACTCCTAGGTAGGGTCGCACTGGGATAACTTATACACATATATATATATGTTCAAAAAAGAAAAACCCAGTCAGGGCTATAGCGCTATAGGGCTATAGAGTTGCAGGGCTATAGGGCTATTGGGCTATAGGGCTATAGGGCTAATAGGGCACCCCCGGGCAGCCCCGGGCACGCCCAGGCACCCGGGCACGGCCCCCCCCGGGCACCCGGGCCCAGGGCACCCCCGGGCACCCGGGCACCCGGGCGTGCAGCGAAAATCGGCGACAAACCTAACCTAACCATATGAATCCGCTAGGACCCCTACAGAAGCAAGCTCTGATTGGGGAAAAAACAGGCCAAGACAGCGCGACTTCCAAAAAGGAAAAAAAGAGGAGGATGAGGAGGAAACCTGATGGTATCGAGGGCCCCCCCGAGGGCAATGTTTGTGGGATGTCTCAAGCGACATGCTAGTGTTTTAACAAAAAAGGTGAACATCCACTGATTTTTCAACAATTTCGCCTTCTTCGGCCACCTTGGAGTTCATCCGAGATCGCTTTGAAAAAAGCTTGAAACAACACTTCATACACCCAAATTGTTAGATAATGTCTCAGGCGAAACGGCCATTTCGGCCTCCGCCCCCTCCACTGCTGCTGCTGCTGCTGCTGCTGCTGCTCCTCCTCCTCCTCCGCCTCCTCCTCCTCCCCCTCCTCCCCTGGTAGTCGTCTTCGCCGTCGTCCTCCTCACGCGGAAGAGTGAGGAGCATACTCAGGAATATGCTTGTGAACGTTCGGGGGGCACGTGTCCACACGTATCCCTTGTGAGCGTTCGGGGAGCTCGCCTACATTACATTTGATCGCGATGATGCTGCAAGTTCTTGCGCAGCTCTTCCCTTTCACGCGCGTCCTGTTCATGTCAGGAAACGGTTCCCAAGATGAGCGTTTCGCTCGAGGCATCCTCGCCTAATCCTGAAGTTGGGGGTCGTATCTTAAGACGTAGGTTGCTAAACATGGGCGTTTCGCCCGAGACATCCTCCAAACATGGAGATCTTGAAATCGCTCGCCTAATTTTCGGATCCTCGAACATGGGCGTTTCGCCTGAGACATCCTCGAAAAAATGGGATGCGCCAATAGCTCTTGCAAGGCATCTTTTCGGATCGATCTCGGATGACCTCCAAGATTGCCCAAGAAGCGAAATTATTGAAAATCCCGTGGGTTTTATTCAGAACAGAGCGTTTCGCTAGAGACATCCTCCAAACATTGCCTTCGGACGGGTCCTCGAAGGCGAAACTATTGAAGCAACCCATGGGTTTTCAACAGTTGTATTAAAAGCATAGCGTGTCGCTCGAGACATCCTCCAAAAATTGCCTCCTCCTCCTCCTCCTCCTGTTCTTCCTCCTCGTCCTCTTCCTCCTCCTGCCCCTCCTCCTCCTCCAACTTACGAGGAAGACAAATTCCGATAAGGAAGGTTGGATTGGACATCTCCTGGTCCTGTGAGGTTTACGGGGCTATCCAACATCCGATAAGGAAGGTTGGATTCCATGCCCCGTGGGCCCCCTGGGGCCTGATGGCGACCCCATTTGTTTTAAGTTCACCATATGTTGCTGCTGCTGCTCCTCCTCCTCCTCCGCCTCCTCCTCCTCCCCCTCCTCCCCTGGTAGTCGTCTTCGTCGTCCTCCTCCTCACGCGGAAGAGTGAGGAGGATACTCAGGAATATGCTTGTGAACGTTCGGGGGGCACGTGTCCATACGTATCCTCGATAACGCGACCGTGACCATAGCCACTGCTCCTTCGTGTTTCCCAGATAAGATCTTTAAAAAATAGAACTCCGTTTTTTAACACGCTGGGATTTATTAACTTTCATAAATCGGTTTTGCAAGCGATTGCAGACCCACTATGACGCGTGAGCGGGGGGGCAGAAAAAGGGCATCGCAGTAGAACAACAGCATCGGGGTGCATAGTTACGCAATTGGAAGGGTTCGGCGGAGGGGTAGCGTGCCAGACGTGGTGCGAGCGCACTTAGCTTGCCCCTCACATTCCTTCTCCATCTTCAACCTTTTCCCTCACCCTCCTCCTCCCTGTTCGTCGTCGTCGTTTCCCGGAACCATTTATCAACCCCTTCTCCTTTTATCCCATCCTCTTCCTCCAAAAACGCCCAATTGACCATCCTACTACTCCTGCTCCTCTTGTTCCATCGCTGGATGATTCTCGTGCCGTGCCGTGCCGTGCCGTCTCGTGATGCGTGCCGTGCCGTGCCGTTTCGTGATGCGTCTCACGGGGTCTCGTGCCGTGCCGTCCCGTGCTGTTCCGTCTCATGCCGTGCCGTGCGACTCCTCTCGGAGTGCCGTGCCGCCTCGCGATGCGTCGTGCCAGGTGGAGATGGTGCTTGCGGGGTGGCCTCCAAAATCTGATCGTGGGTGTGTCGACGGGTGCCGTGCGGTGCGGTTACTTGCCGTATTGTGTCGGGTTGCGCGGTGTTGCGTGGTGCCGTGTCAAAGTTGTCGGGGCCCCATTGCCACGTTGCTGTTTGTCAATATCCGTAGCCTGTTTTGGTTGAGAGCTTGTGCGACTTCTGCTTGCCCATTCTTCGGCACACCGTGCATTCCTCCTAGGTCCTCGATTGCACGGGCCAGGCTCGCCATGACGTCGTCGGGCAGCGGCTTGTCGAGGTCGGACTCCCGCGCGATGTTGGACGTGGCCACGCCGAAGTCCACGGCCAGCAGGGGCTCCGCCGCCTCGTCGAGGAACTTGGTCGACCTCATTCCTCCGCCGAAGGCGGTGGCCAGCAAGAAGGAGCAACAGGAGCTGAACGCGCGCTACCGTGCCTCCCAGGCGTTGGTGAAGCATCTCTTGGATGACGACACCCATGCGCCGTCGTTGCTGCTGGACCTCCAGAGGTACAAGGACGAGGTAGATGGTGATACGTGCTTGGAGGGCGCTCTCTCCCACGAGGTCTTCCCCAATGGCCCCCCCGAGACCATCAGCAGGATTCCAGAGGACTACAAGTTGGAGATGATCGTCGAGCAATCCAAGTTGACGGTGGTCCAGCTAGTGACAGCGAAGGAAAAGGACTCCTCGGCCATCTCGGACGCGTTCCACTTCGGCCTGCAGATGATGGATAACTTGTTCCTCCCACCAGAGTTCGGCGTGTTGAAGGTGGCTCGCGGCGTCTTGACGGAGCGCCATACTGATATCGGTTCACGCTGGGCGATGATGGACTCGTCTTGGATCACGCCAGACGGCAAGTTGTCCTTCGTGAAGGGGTGCTACCGCTTCTTGTACGACGAGGACGATGACGTTGCCAAGAGGGTTCAGCACATCAACGGCGACACCGTGGACCTGCCTGAGGGGACGCACATCGTCAAGAAGGTCCACGGCATCAGCTGCAACTACAGCGACTGGAAGGCGGCCTTGGTGTGCAAACCCTTCTCGGGCGCCAAGCTTCACAAGTTCTTCCAAGCGACCAAGACTGGGCCGTACCGCTTCACCGTCTTCACCAACAAGGACGACGTGCTCAGCGACAAGGTGAAGAATCGGTACACCACGTGGGCTAAGGGGCGCGGCTCTACTGCCTCGGCGTCTTCGGGTCCCACGGAGGCGCAGAAGGAGCTCCAGGAGTCCAAGAAGCGCACTAAGACGACGGCCATGGAGTCGGCTCGCAAGAAGGCGAAGGACCTCAACGCTTTGAAGAAGGAAGCGAAGGTGTCCTCGGCTTGAGCGTGACGTCGGTCGTCTTCGTCACTAGTGATATTGAGTTTTGACCTGAGGAGTTCGTGCGAGTGGCATGTCAACCACCTTGTGTATATCCGTCGCAGCACTGCCCTCAACCTCTAGTGTCGTGGTCATATCTTGTCAGCTTTAGTTGACACACGTAGCAGGTGGTGCCGCTAGCAGTTGGTGCCCCTAGCAGGTGAGGCCGCCTGCTGGGTCAGAATGCGGGTTATCTGACCGTCGTAGCAGGCACGGTGCCTCCAGCACGCGGTGCCCCCAGCACCTCGTGCCCAGACACGTGCGTAGGAGGGTGGTGCCCCTAGCACCGTTCGAGCTGCAAAAATGAAACGGCCCCTGAGGGCCCTCATGGACACACCACCTCATGGGGGCGGGAGGGGCGGAGGATGGGGGAAGGGGACTGGGTGAGAGGACGAGGGCATGTGTGGGAGGGCTATAGAAACAGTATGCAGTGAGGAGGGGTAGAATAGGGAGGGGCCCCCACCTCCCCCTCCTCCTCCTCCTCCTCCCCTAACCTCCTGGCCCCCTCTTAGGCCGGCAGTGGCCAGGTGGCCAGCAACCGTCAGAATGATTCGGAGAGTGTCCTTTGTACGTCGCAGGTGTGACTCCACCGTTGGCTTGCGTTGTTTGCAATGCATATTTCATGATTCGGTGTTTGTCGTGCGCAGGCGAGGTCGACGTGTGAGTTCTCAGGTCGCCTGCGGTCGTCCTCCGTGATCCACCCCACCCTCTCGCCTCTTCCTCTGGCGTAGCCGTTTTGGCACTAGTCGATTCTCAGGGTCTCGAGGCGAGTTCTTCATCGGGACCGTGCGTGCCGTCTGCGGCGGCCGCGGCTGCCAGCGGCGGCGGCGGGCCCCCAGCCCACGTGGACGTCGATGACATCGACGTCGACGGGATCAAGAAGGCCCAGGATACCGAGGTGCCCATGGACCTCCTCCTGTGGAGCGACCACGTGCACCTCCGCAAGGTTGGGAATAACAAGTGGATGTTGAGGAGCATCGAGACGTACGAGTTCCACGAGTTCGAGGCGGAGGCCGCCGAGCTTGTCCACTCGGACGACAACGCGAGCATCGCGGTTGTGAAGGTTGATGGTAGCGCCGATGTGATTGGCCTTGACAACCTGTTCAAGTGGAGACTGTACCGTGCGAAGGGTAGCTGGGGATATTTCGCCAAGGCCACTGTCGTATACCCGACCCACACCAAGACGATACAGAAGAGCGTCGACGACATGTTCTCGGATCACAGGAAGGGCAAGGTGAACGTCGCCGTCGGCTCTGGGAACGGGGAGACACAGTTCAAAGTGTTCATCTTCAAGCGTCATCGCCAAGGAGGGCAGCGGATATGGTGGGACCACATGTCATTGCATAAGTACCTCAAGATCAAGTCCTACAAGGGCATCCCGTCGAGGTGGTGGGGTAGGGTTGGCCATAAGTGGGACGGCAGCTTTCTGCAGAATTTCGGTTTCGGCTCGATGATATACGGCAAAGTGGTAGCGCCCCATGCGGTCAAGAAAATGATGCTTCCGTTTCGCACGAGGTGCCTCGACTCGAGCTCTTTGTCGACGGCTGGACTCGTCTTCGCAGTGGCCAGGTGCGCGTATTTGTCGCCAGAGGCTGGGGGCTTCAAGGAGGAGAGTAGCACGCGCGCTGCGACGGAGTTGATGGACGCCTTCATCGGTACCTTCCTGCGCAACTGCCAGGTCGAGGGTAAGGCCCCCGCCATCACTTTGTACCTCGTTGCCGATTGGGCGCCGCCGTGGCCGTTCCCCACAGAGACGGGCACTCCCCAGGTCAACCTGGGAGTGCATCGCGATGGTATCGACGTGAAGCCGCTGCACAGCTTGGCCAATGCATCTGGGAGGACTTCAATTGTGACCAAGTATTTCAGGATGGTGGAGAGTGTCGTCGGCTCGTCCGACCAGGGCGTCATGCTCGTATCATGGGAGAACTTGTTCTCGAACACGGTGTCCAAGAGATCAAGCAAGTTCTTCTCGCAGATCGTCTACGGCCTCGCCATGGCCGCAGAGGCCTTGGTGCTCCGCGGGGTCACGAATAAGGACGTCGTGGACACGCTCAGCCCGATCAACGTCTGCACGTCCACGATGCAGGACATGGACAGGCACGAGGTGGACTACTTTCTCGCGAAGTACGTCGCCTGCGCGAAGGACACGTTCAAGTCGCCTATGTTCCTCAACGTCGCCATCGACAAGGACGGGGGTGACCAGCAGCATTGCCGATCTTGGCCACCCCTGAGACGCCCCCCCCCGCACCCCCCCTCCGCGCCCGCCTGCCAGCCCCGCCAGCCTCGGCGGGGGGATGGGGAGGGGGCAGGCGGCGGTGGCTAAGATCGCCATTGGCAGCTAGTCGCCCCCCAAAGGGCAACCCTGGCAACCTCCCCCTCTACGGCTCCGTGTTCACGCTCCCCAGCGGGGTGGCGGTCGTCGGGCCGCCACAGGTAGGCCAGGTAGACGCACGAGCCCGCCCCCCCCCCCCCCCTCCCCCTGCACAGGCGCACCCCCCTGTCGGGCGAACGCCCCCCAGCTGTGGCTATGGTCACTTTTCGGGGCTCCCGCCTGAGTTTTGGGCCCAAAAAGTGACCACAGCCACAGCTGGGGCACTGAGCGCTGGGCCTGGGGGTGCCATGGGGGGCGGGGCCTCGGGCGTTTGCGCCGTCGCAGGTGGCGAGCGGCGCTGGGGCGCTGGAGTGGGCGTCAGGCAAGGATATCAGATCGGCGCGGCCTGGGGGGAAGAAGAGCGAGAATACCGACGGGGACGCTGGGACGATGAGGGCAAATTGCCATCGCGCGTGGCTCCAGAGAGGCAGGCACCAGAAGGGCCAGAGTTGGAGGCCAGCCGTGCTACACCGAGCTGCCGCAGCATCGTGGTGCACTGCCCTCGACAACGCCATGAAGCATGTGACTGAGACCGATGGCCTTTCGTATCTTCGGCCCGACGCCTCCGACAAGTGGCACGACGCAAATTGGCGGAACTGGCCTCACATGTCGTTGCCGATGGACCTTGGGCCTGACGGGATGGCAGGTTGCAACGCTTTGCTTTACAAGTGGAAGTTGAATCTGACAAGGATCGATGAGTTCAGCCACGGGTCGAACAACGACCTCAAGGTCTACCTGAAGGAAATCGGCATGTGGGACCTCGCGATCCTCCTCTTCATCCACTTCAACGTGCCGTTCGGGCCTGGCAAGGACCCCCCCCCCCCTTCTCCCCCTCCCCTCCTCCTCCAGAGTGGGGAGAGGCTGGCAGGAGGGCGACCGATGCAGGCACCTCTCCTTCCCTCTCCCTCTCTCCTCCTCTCCTCCTCTCCTCCTCTCCTCCTCTCCTCCTCCCCTCCTCCCCTCCCCCCCCCCTCCGAGTGGGGAGAGGACCTTCCCTCTCCTCCTCTCCTCCTCTCCTCCTCTCCTCAGGAGGGCGACCGATACAGGCACCTCGAGCGCGTGGACACCATGAGGAAGATCTACGACGAAGAGACCTACAGGTCGGTGCCGTGCTTCCAGCACTACTGCAATAACATAGTCCAGGAGATGAAGAGGGACGGCTACGAGTTCACAGGGGACGAGCCAGATGCAGCCGTGGCTTGGAACTTCATGAAAGAGGAGAACGGCTTCATCCCATTGGGGATGCGCTTGAACTTCTGTCGGTGTTGTGATGCTGCTGATGGTTTCGACAGGAACTACAAGTACTGGTGGAGGCACACGTTCGAGCGCGCGTGCGTCGCCTTGGAGCACGACATGCTTGCGAATGCGAAGCTCCAGAAGGTAGCGGTCAAGCAGGCGGAGGTGGACGGGGCGATCGTGGAGGGGGGCGGCACTACGAGCAGCGCCAAAGTGACGATCGACGCGAAGGTGTTGAGGTCCGCTAACGCAAACGCCGTGGCGATATCAGTGCTGCTGACATCATGCCCTCGGAACCGCCGCACAGTAGCCTGCTCGTTCGCCCCGATGCATGTTGTGAAGAAGTGGCAGGGGAAGAGCGCGAAGGAGATGAAGACCGCGGAGGCGACGCAGGTGTGGATGACCAATCAGATCAGAGGGGACTTCATGGACCATGTTATTTCGATTGTAAACGGCTTGATGGACGCGCACAGCATGGAGAGCTGCGACTCCATTCTGAACATGCGCGCGATCAAGGACGCCGATCCTGGTGAGGTCGGTGTCGAGGACGACTTTGCCGAGCTGCACGGCATGGCGCATCTTTCACTTGCCGCTGCCAGGATGCGAAGGTGTTTGTTTTTGTTCGGGTGGCCCTTGAAGATGCAGCGCGCCCTGGCCGACCCAGAGACAGGGTTGAACACGGCGCGGGAGTTCAAGCGAGACATCGATGTCTTCAACGAGTACTGCGCGTACAAGGGCGATCAGAGTGCACGGTGCGTGGTCGTGAAGCGCAGCGTCTTCGGCCTGACAGCGACCAAGCAGATCACCTTGGCGTTCCGCGAGCTCGGGTTCAATTTTCCGCACCAGGCGATCAAGGACATCATGAAAGGTCGGAGCACTGGCATCACGAATACGATTCCTGTCGAGAAGATCATTGGCGCCCAGAAGAAATGCTCGCGCTTCAAGGCTTGCAAGAAGTTTCGTGGGCCAGCGACCGCCATGCATACGGCCATCTGTTGCGGCGTGATCGACGAGCAGTTGAAGTTCACGGCCCTCGAGGCCGATACCCCCCTTCAGGATAAGACAGCGTCTCTGCCGCCAGAAGCCTTCAAGCCAGTGAAGAGATCTGCTTCGATAGCTTTCGGGGATATCGTGAGTACCGCCCAGAAGACCGACTACTACAGCCCAGGCCCCACCTTGGCGAACACACCGGTTGCCGACCTCAAGATGGTTTCCGACGCGAAGGCTAAAGGAGGGTTTGGCCATGTCACAGACGCGTGGCTGGGCGGCACATTCAAGCTGAAGCACAAGTTCGTCTTCTCGAGCCCACATCATGGTGGCGATGCGTGGTGGCACCTTGCGCTGTACCACTGGCCGACGAGCGGCGTGTTGTGTTGGCCTGGCAAGCTGGTCACGGTAGAGGGGTCACCCAACTTTTACTTCGAGTTCGCCCTCGACTTGCAGGAGCCCGTGCACGTCGGCGTGTTCGACTGGGCGGACTTCAAGGTCAGGGAGATTTCTTTCAAGTCATGGGCCTGGCAGGGCCGCAACATGCCGCAGGGTTGGGTTGATGCGAACAAGCCTGGCGCGCGCGTCTTCGCCACGGGTTCGGTCACCAACATCCAGAAGCTGGCCGCGACGAACTGTTTCTGGAACATCAGCTCCTCGGACTTGGGCAGTATTGCCAGCTACCTGAAGATCCCCATTCCT